CTCTGATGAGAAGAATTCAGCTGTGTGGACTAGTAGTAATCAACCTACATACAAGCCTTTCTATACAGTGTATTGGTGTATGCTGTTACTAATGTGATTAGAGTTGCTCTTTTTTCCATGCTCTTTCATCTGCTTCACAGTGTGATAACTGCGGGATTGAACCTATCCAGGGTGTTCGGTGGCACTGCCAAGACTGCCCTCAAGAAATGTCCTTGGATTTCTGTGATTCTTGTTCTGACTGGTGAGCAACGTATGCTTCTATTTGTTGTTTGTAATTAGCTTGAATATCTCTATGTGGCTTAAATGCTGTGTATGTTGGAAATCTTTGCTCCAGCATAGGACACATCTCCTGTGCTGGGTAACGTGGAAGATACTTTAGCATGTGTTTGTGGGAGATACATTTTGCAAACGTGTTCTGGATGTTGGGGGTTTTTTTCTTAATACAGTGCACAGATAGGTTTGGTACTGTTAAATAGTGGGGGGGAATATACTTTATGAATTAATTGGTTGGATCAAATTTGGTATGAAACTGTTAATATGATCACTGTTTCCGAAAGTTAAAGAAAATATTTGACTTTTAAACTGTTATCTTTTTCTTTCCCTTGCAGTCTGCATGAAACAGAGATTCATAAGGAAGATCATCAGTTAGAACCTATTTACAGAGCAGAGACATTTTTAGACAGAGACTACTGCATGTCCCAGGGCACCAGTTACAATTATCTTGACCCAAACTACTTTCCAGCAAATAGATGACATGGGAAGCAGATCTACCATCTTGGGCTTACTATCCTCTTTGAAAAATAACAATGGCACCATTGTTAATTCTGTGCACATTTTGGAAAGACACTGCTTTCCCTGAAATGTCGCTCACAGCATGACAGCTTCCTGGGTGTACTTGTCAAACTACAGCTTTGAGCTGTCATGGTTCTAGATCACTGAACAGCAGCTGAACATTCCTAGTGTGCAGAAGGTTTCACTGGGAGACTTTTCTTTCACCACATTAGTCATTTTTAGGTGGTGAATCTAAACACAAAAGAAAAACATACAAAAGGGTGAGCCAGAAATGAGAGCACACATTAAAGATAGAGTAAATTCCAAAGGCTTCGAAGAACTCGGTTATAATGAGATCCAGAGGAGATGAAGTATTTATATAAAAACAGTTTAGTAGCTTGCAGTTTTGTTGTGAAATAGTTTTCAGCACAGTAACTGACTTCTTTAGGCAAGGTTTTAACCAATGACAGTGTTTGCTTCTAGGATGTACTCTAAAAAATACTCACTGTCTCAGCGATGGTTGGTTACAGGCCTTTATTAAATTGGAGCTGCTTAATCACATTGACTTTCAATTTTTTTAATTTTTTTTAATTTTTTTTTTTAAACCACGATGAACTCTATTTACCAACAGTGAAGCACTACAGGAGGCAACTGTGGCATTGCTTCCTTAACCAGCTCATGGTGTGTGAATGTTATAAAATTGTCACTCAGATATATTTTTTAAATGTAATGTTATATAAGATGATCATGTGATGTGTACAAAATATGGTGAAAAGTGCCAGTGGTAGTAACTGTGTAAAGTCTCTAATACTCAACATTAACTCCTTTAAAATAAAATACACAGCCTTCTGCCTCTGTATTTGGAGTTGTTAGTGCAACTCATCAAAGAAAACTGCCTAATATAAATCATATATATGGTAATAATTTTTCCTCTTTTGTAGTCTGCACAAGATCCATGAAAGATTGTATTTTTATTACTATTTAAACAGTGATTAAATTTAGCCTGAGCAGTGAGCAAGGGTTCACATGCATTCTTTTATACTGCTGGATTTTGTTGTGCATCATTTAAAACATTTTGTATGTTTCTTCTTATCTGTGTATACAGTATGTTCTTAAATAATGTTCAATTGTCAGGAGAACTGTGAGAAATAAACTATGTGGATACAGTCTGTTTATATATAGAATGCTTGCTGTGACTTCCTTTCTGTGTAGTTCTGACTTTTTAATCAAGATGGAAAACATTAAAAGGACATTTTAGTACGTCATGCCAACACTCGCTATGCAGACCTGCAAGATGCCCAGCGCCTTCCTCTGCTGTTCATTTCAATGGGAACGGATGGTGCTCGGTGCCTTCTAAAACACCTTCGCGTTTTGCAGGATTAGCATTCTCGTTTTCTCATCCCTTACTCACAAACTGCTCTTTTTCAGAGTGCAGAACACTTAGGTTTCAGTAGCCTCGGTACACTGTATACCGCCGTCTGAGAAGCTTTGTAATTATTGTGACATATTTTAGTTAATATATTTTCTATTCAAATGTATAGCTTGTGATTCAGAAACACTTGATTATTTTATAACTGTAATAGACTTCCAGTTGCTTTGAAACTTGAATACTCAGAGTAATTGGCTGGAAAATACACTAATTTGACTTAAAAAGATGGCAATAAGAAGGATAATTGGCTGGTTGCACCTAATAACTTTGATTATAAACTGATCAGCATTAAGTTTTGCAATAAATTTAGGTGTGGGTAATTCTTGCTTCACAAACAATAATTTTAAGCATTTGATCTATTTAGAAGGTAATACAGTACAGTTACTAAAACACTGAGCAAGTATCGTACGTGAACATATCTCGCGTATCTAGTATACCTAGATAAATTTAACAAACCTTAAAAATACAACACAAATTCACACAATGTATTTTAGTTTTTAATTGGAAAAGATACTGCTCTGAGAGGCTGTAATACAACAAAAAATGTGCTTTCCACGTCATTCATGCTGTTTATAGGAAGCTAGAGTTGGTGAAGGTGTATTATCAGGGAGAGAAGCTGTGGTAATCTTTGGTTTCTGTTCATATCCTGAAAAAATCACTGGAAGAAAATAATGATAGTACATTAGGGAAAATAGGATTAAGTGCAAATATTCAGTCGTCAATTTAGGATAGCTTGGGAAGAGGAAAAAGCCATGGTATAATTTGAGTGAGATTGGAAGCAGAAGGAGATTTTCAGGTCTGAATCACCCAAGAATGAAGTGTCTTGGAAGTCCTCCTTTTATGGAATATGTATAAATATTTATATTTCCATATGCATGCATATACAGCTATTTCTCTTGCATATATTATGAACATATGCAAATAGGTATCTAATGCACATACACCCAACCAAGAATGGGAAATTTTTTGTTTTGTTCCACAGAAAAGACCAGAAGAAGCAGAAAGAAAATTAAACTGTATGTTAAATATTTTTTGTAAATTGATTTAAAAAAAAAAAAAAAGCAGCTGATTGTTGCCTTTGTTCCCATCCTGCACAAGTATGATACTCCACACTTTTTAACTTATATTGTAATTGGAAGTAATAAAAAATACTCCAGAAAACCTACACAGCTGAATTTGCAACTTCATGGTAACTCCAGAATATTTTACGGGGTTTTTTTTGAAAAATACTACACCAGACAGCTGCTGGTGCTTCAAGGCTCGGTTTAGAAAAACCTGCCTTATCTGCTGATGCATCGTAAAGGTCTCGCTCAAAGCTGTTGTACTACAGACATTACTGGTCGCTTAATGGTGCTGGTCTGGAGCTGGAGCAGTGCTTCTAGAGCAGCAGAGGTAAAATGTAGGCTATAAAAGGACCCAGGAAAGAAGGAACATCCAGGAGGTGAAGCATAAGAATGTATCTAAAACAGTCCCTTAAAAAATAATTACAAAAAATAATTTACAGGGCAAATGCCAAGGAAGAAAAAGCAAGCAGAAGAATCTGCCCTGAATGGAGAAAGGACATACTCTGTAAGCATGCTGATTTGAGCTATATTTTCAAGTCATGTACTGTGCTTTAAAAAGGATTAAACCCACATTTACTGTAACAGAAATCATTACTCCTCATTTTTGTATGTTTTATTTATGTCTTCATTACAAGAAAAGTAACTTTAAAAATACAAATCTGCTGTGTAAAGTACAACTTTGACAGTAAGAGCAATCATGCAACCCACTTCAACTGTGAATTCATCCTGTAGTTCCAGTAAGAGGATGCAATTACTTTATAGGAATGTCAAACAAGCTTTTATTTAGCTATCAGAATACCAAAGAAACTCCACAATATTTTGGTTAACCTAATGGAAATATGATTTTTACAGACTTTTTTGCAGATATTATGGATAAATGGCGTAATAAAGGTGCAAGCAATATGAATCAAATAATCCCTGACATTTTCTGCCCCCCACCCCACACTGCTGGCAATGCCAGTACAAGACATCAGATGATGATCTGAATTTTGCATTTGAAATGGTTCTGAATTATGACTTAAAGACATCTTCATACATTCTGGCTCATAGTCAACTTTACGTGTAGAGTTCCATTAATACAGTAAAGCTGCTGTTAATATGGATAATTACTGGATTGCACATTTAACTATACAATACAATCATTATTTTCACCTCAGCTCACAAAACTGGAAAGTTGTCATAATATCCTAGAATTCCCAGCAGAAGACAAAGCTGTCTCAAAAATGGTGTCTGCTCCACAATAACGAATTAACAGACTTCCACAATATTCAACCATATCTTCACCTTCAATTAATTTCTCTGCTGCTGCTTGTAACAGCAGTCTGGGGATGTGTGGAAAGTTTAACTATTAGCTTGACTTATTCCAGCTGTCTTACAGCTGCATGTAACAGATTTTAGTCACTAAAACCCAAGAACAAGCTGAGTGATACCACAAAAATTAAATGCTGTTAATTAAAAGAAAATAATAACCAACAGGAAACTTGTACACAGTAATCTTAGTACGCTAAATGGTGAAGGAGGTGGTTGAAGAAGAGCTCACTGCTGGCCAGGCACTGTCTGACTTCCAATCAAATCTATGAGATCATGAAATACAAACCCGAGCTGCTGTTCACCATGCAGCTTTTAACCCGTGAAGAGCAAACAACCAGTAAAACGATACACAATTCTTAGCGTAGAGTTAGCATGTAGACCACTTTCTATTGAGTGTATTGTCAGAACAGAGAAAAAAGATTTCATCTAACATAACATACCACATGCACAAATTCCAGATGCCTCCAAGAAAGCAGTATTGCTTCGAACAGCATTTTGATCATGACTGTCGAGTGCACATGAGGTGAGGCTGTGTCCACACCATTACTGCATTTCTGCTGAAAAAGAAAATGCTGCCTCTTCCTTTTTCAGAAAAGAGTCAATTGCCTTGCAGACTTCCAGAAAAACATCCTCCTGTGTTCCTTCTGCATCAATCTGTGAAGGAGGCAAAAAACCATTCATTTTGATTAAGTTACAGAGAATTATCTTGAAATCTAAACATTGGCACAAAAACCCTAGTTCAATACAAAATAAAAGGTATTTCATGTTATAAGCATGCCAATAGAGCAGCAGCTGCCATTAACCAAATTATTTGCTCTGTTTCCACAGATTTATGCAAGAAGATACTGTAGGCTCCATCATCTGGAGCAAACTACGTTATATTAATCAAATGAGGGAGCTTAAGCTCTTTCTCTTAAGTAGTCTTTTTTTTAAATTAAAAATTGCACCTTGGATATCCAGAACAGTTTCCAAAGATTTTTAGAAACTATTTTAACATTTAATACCCTCCAAAAGAAACCTAACAGAATAACTTTGGTATCATACCATTAATGAAATGAATAGCACAGACTTGTTAATTTGTTTTGTGACATCTACAGTGTCAGAGTATGTAATGCTGTGACTGTCCGAAAAGCTTTCAAATGACAGTAACTTAGTGAGGTTGTGCAGTGCTGTGTGTTTGTATTTGCAGGCTTGGTGAATTGGTTCTGGTTTTACGACAACCTTTAGGCCATGCATGTTTTGTAGTGGCACTGGTTCTGTTGTACGAGAAGTCACTTTCATGAAGAATTATTTTTTTTTTAACACCCCAAAGATTCTGCTTTAGCCAGAGGTTGTCCAGGCTTCAAGTTATTTTTCATGACTGGACTTCAACAAAAACAAGACCAATTTGTTCTCTTATGCTGAGGAAAAGAGAGCTGCATTTTAGCAAAGAGGAACTATGTTTGTAGATAGTAATGCTTCTGTGTGTTCCTTAGAAAATATAATGTAGCACCGAGTTGTTCTGAGCAATGAGTTTCATGTCCATCCCATGCAGTGTCATGCAGGACATCACTTGAGGAAGGAGCGCTGTCTTTTGCCTTCACAGTAGTGACAGAAGAAGCTTTCGGTCTGGCTGTGTACACCACACAGATTGCATCTGATGATTATTCAGTTCCTCTCAAATGCCTGGTGAGAGCCTGGATTCTCCACCCAAAAAGCAAGCTTCCTCTCTGCTTCTCCACACCTAGTCTTTCATGCATGCATGCCACGGAGCTTGCACACATCTAACTGGACCCATGACAACTTTACTAAAGCCTGTTTTTCTGAACTGTGTCCTGCATTTTCATCTCCAAATTGCTGACTAGGATGCCAGACAACTGTAATGTTTGAAGGGGACATTCCTGACCATCATACTTTCTGCCGCCTCTTTGTTCCGCAGGAGAATAAAAGGAATTTCAAACTCGAAAAAATGTATTTTTGAAATAGGCCATGAAATTTTTCTCAGATACGGTGTTGGCTTGCAGCCAGGTCCTGTACAGCCTGACTGCACTCAACATATATTTAAGTCCCTCGGTGCTAAGTCTTGTGTGGGAGTCAGCAGCTGCTCCTTGCAGAGATCCAGCAAGGGGTTGTATTCATGCTCTGTAGTTTGGTTTTGCTCTTGGTGGCATCCACAGATGCTGCAAAGTTTGGTCGCTTGTTGCATCCTGTTGGAAGTGCTGGCATACCCAGCCAGTCTACCTCCACACAGCAGTTCCAGCACTGGAGATGATCAGCCTGGGCAATCCTTAAGGAGCCAGGCCTGACTGGGTGCAGTCCCATTGGGGACCACAAGGGGATCTTGCAGTCTGAGCTGAACTACCCTCTCCCCTGGCAAGCTTTCAGAGGCCCGATTCTCTTACTTCCCTTGCTCTCTATCATGCTGGTGTTTGCTGACATTGCTGCTTGGTGTGATGCTGAAGTACATGCATGCTGGAGTAGTTTGTGAAGCAGCAGGTGGTGGCTTAGAAAGGTCAGTTCCCAAACAAGGGCTGCATGTCTTTCAGAAGTTTTATATGCCACAGAAACAAAGGGTTTAGGAGGGGGTTACTTATTAGCAGCAAAGAGGAAAGGGGAATGGTGAACCATTCTGGACTAAATGCCTACCTTCTCCACTTAGAATAAACTAGCAACTCCCATCTCAGCTGCTATAAAGCAGCTTGTTTTGTCTGTCTCAACTGCCAAGATACCTATTTTCATATGGCTATGCCATAGGAAATATACTTCACACAGGGCGAAGGCCACAGTCATTTCAAAGCTCTCTTGTCTTACTATGTATTTTTATTATCTCTTTATTCCATAAATACATCTGCACTGGATAACTGATCTAACCTAATCAGTACAGCTGATTGCCATTGGCTTTTTGGCGACCTCTTCTAGAACTGGGATTGATACTCGGGCATAGATCTAGGCAGTTGTGATGAAGAATTAGGTTTGTGAGCATGGAAATCGCCACCCTTTATGACTGGCTGGAACGCTGCCTTCCTAGCAGTCAGTAAATATGGATGACTGTGACTAATGACAGCCCCAGCGCTTCCCATGCTGGCCTCCTAAATAACAAAGGTCCAATTCATAAAACTAACTTAAAGTTGTGGCACAAAACTAACTTAATGTGACAATAATTCACAGCTAGTACCACAGTAATTCAATGACACTCTCTGCAGCTCCAGGAGAGAAAACTGTATTTCTCTTTCTCAGATTGCAACAAACCTCATAAATTAGGACTGTTTTCAAGGTTACTCAAGGCTACTGTCTTCTCATAAAAGCAAGATCCAGATACAGTTTGCCATAGTGCTTTCAGTTTTGAAATGCCACTGTGGCTTTAGGTAACTGCAAATACAGAGAAATTTAATGAGCTCATATGAAAAATGACTGGAGTAATCATCTTCATAGTACAATGTTGCTCCTTTTGGCATTAAAATCAGCCAATTAAATTTTCTGTCATCAAAACTCCATTTGTTGTAGGTTTTAGGATTTATAACCCTGAACATATACTGCCACTGAGAAAAACCTGCCTGTCTGTAGAGAGGATGGCTGAAGAACACCATTTTCAGAAAGACAGACTCTGGAGTAAACTCACTAGTTAGAGGATTCTTATTCAAGTCTAATGGGTCACAAACCACCAAGGGAGGTGACATAGGAACACTTGTTCCTTTGTTCCCCACCTACTTACCTACCAGAGTTAATGATTCTCTGACAACCTTTCAAAAGAAATAAATTACATACCTGCTATCACTATTACCATTGATTATCCCTTCTCTAAAGGGAAAAGTATACATTTGCCCCTCCCCAGAGAAACTTCTAACAGGAGATCAGCATGATAAGCCTCAGAATTGGAAGAATGTGGGAGGATGGATGGTCACTTGTTCTTTCATAATGGCTATGGAAAATGTTTGTGATAAGAATCTAATAACTACTGCTCACCCAGTATGTGACTTCAACTGATTTTAGAAAGAAACAGTAGAACAATACTGGGGGGGACGACGACACGACGACCAAAACAAAAACAAACAAAAAAAAGAAAGAAAAAGAGAAAGAAAAAGAAAAAGGCATTTTGATTGAACTGTGCAGGCTAAATTTCCATAGCATGTGATCTGAAACAGTGAAGGTTTTTGGACATCCTTGAAAATCTCTGCTCTGGACTGCCTACCTGATTTGTTATACTCATGCCCCTTTTCCTCAGATGACTTTGAACAGGGAAATTGTATTTGAGACACCTACTAGGTGTCTTAGGTTAGCTAGATGGGCTCAGTTTTGTCTTGCTTGACTACCAATGCATTGCTCTTCTCCATTACTTATTACCCTCCCACATACTGTCACTTGAAAAACGCTTTAAAGGATGAGTCAGATATTAAAAACAACCAGGTTTTTTTCCTCCCTTTCTTCTCAACTGACACAGGGCCATATATTCAAAGGTATTTACATTTAGCCACGGTGAAACACAAGTAGGTGCCTACTAAATTGTCGGAAGCACTTTTCTGTCCAGCTGCCTTGGAAATCACTGAGAAATAAATTTAAAAACAACAGTATCTACCTGCTTACTACAGCTACCATAGTGTGTTTCATTTTGTTTCATTTCATTCATCTGAAACATCTGATTCCCACAGAATCAGGCAGCTTGGAATGTTGTTTTTGTGAGTAATGCTTTCAGTCCTTGCATTTCCAGTACAAGGTCTTTGTTGAAAAGCACCCACTTGCTGTCCTTAGCGGCAGGTGGGTGTTCTGTAACCGACTATGAAAGAAATTATGGAATACTAAACTATATCCCCAAAACATGATTTTTTAAAAATCAATTGGAAAATTTCTTATTGTTACATCTACTTTACCTTCTAGAACACAATGTAGAAAATTAATGCCTTAGCAGAAAAGGAGCAGAGGACACTGACATTCTTTGCCCTTCATTCTTCAGTCAATCTTCCCTTGTAAATACATCCCTGTGAGTTACATCACAGTTCTTCATCTCAGCTGGGTGGCTGGAAGGATCACCATTATTTATTCCAGTCAGGTCCACAGATGTTTCATCTGCACCCAAGTTCTCCACCTTTTGTGCATGCCTCACGCTTCCACTGCTGAGCAGAAACACTGACAGGTAATCTTGGTCAAAGGGAAATTTCAGTCTTGATTTTTTGGCAGCTTCATCAGGTCATGGTTCTCGTTCAGAGGTCAGCAGAATGAAAAAATGTTCCATTGCCAAATATCATATTTATCAATGTGTCTATGCACAATAACTCTAGGTTTAGAGAAGGTCATAAAATTCTCATTTATTAAAATGGGAATGCTGTTACAATCATATACCTTTGTCTCTTCTGTGCAAGTAAAGCAAAGAGAGAATTCCTAATGACTGCAGAGGAAGCTAGGTCAGACTGGAGTTTTTCCATCTCTACTGTGTTTATTTGGCTCCTTCCACCCATGCCATAACACCCATTCCAATGCAGAGAATGAGAAAGCTAATTTGGCAATGTAGTCTCAAGCACACCTTGATATGGTGCGACAGATCAACTCCTCCTCCACTGAGTGCTCATCCAACATCTAATTCCCACACCAGACCTTCTGCTGGCCTTATGCCCAGGACTGAATTTTACATTTGCATATTTAATCTGCTTGTTTCAGGACTGAAAACTTTTAGGCTGGATAGGACAAGTTAAACACGAAGCACCATTACCATGTGCTGGTCCCAATCTGTGGAAAACTTTGCCCCGCCCTAAATACACTTAAAATGGAGAATTCAAATAATACCAACATGCAGTCCCTATTTTCTTGTTAAATAAAAGAAAAGTCTATTTAACCATTCTGATTTTCATTTCTGTAGCAAAGTAGGGACTGAGTGCTACAGTTAAATCCTACAAGACGTGATCACTTACACAGTTCAACACTATTTTCCCTACAATTATTAGTGGTGCTTAGTCACACATTGCAGTAAGCTGGCTAGAAAAGGTTAATGCTGAATCTTTGGGGCAGTTAGGTGGGATTTAGACTCTAATATTCCTATTAAAATCTGAATTCTTAAGAAAATGCATGGCTGGAATCTCAAGGGACATAAAGCTTACATGGGCCTTCCATCAAAGACCTGCTTCTCTTGAAAAAATAGGCCTGGGCAGGACTAACTTTCCAGAAGGCAGTAACTAAAGGTTCTTTTTGACCCTTCTTCTCTTCCTCTCTTTAATAGCTCCTTTTCAGATGCTTTGGCTATTGCTTTTCCTGGGATCACAAACTGATCTGGATCTGCAAACAGCACCTTCAGGTAAGACATCACTTCCCTGAAGCTGTTGGATCCCACTAGCTTTGCCCGAGAAAAAGAGTGTACGAGCCTCTGGTCTGTATTTAGATGAAGGTCCATGGATTATTTAAAAAAAAATCCATGACTGTAGATGAGATGATTTATTTTAAGGGGTCTTCAAATCAACAGTTGTAAATTAACTTTGGTGGCTTTTCCTGATATGGATTAGGAAACATATACACAGTTCTTTCAGTGAGCGGAATTATAGAGGCAGCAGCATCTTAAGGGGAGTGTTAACCTCTTCAACCAGTGCTGGTCAGTGCTGGAGAGTAATAAAACCCTCTTAGGAATGAACAGATTCGCAGAGCTGAAAACATGTAGTGTTATAATTAAAATCAGGAAGAAAAATATTAAACATATTAGACTGCCTCTAGGTAAAATCTCAGTCCTCTGTGTATGTGTATGATATTACAAATAGTATGTGTATCATATTACAAATAACAAAAAACAAGGACTATTTTAGCCTAGTCTCCACAAAAAAAAAATTGCAGCCAGAAGTCTTACAGATAGTTTTTCTGCTTTCCATCTGAATTTCCTTTCTTAATTCAGAGAACATCACAGTGGCTGCTAATTTCAATGCTTAGCAGCCTGTAAAATATGTTGCTATAAATAAGAAAATAACCCTGTGTCCTGGGAATTGCAAACTTCCCCTTTACTCTCTGCTTTCTTGAACACATGCAGGCTAAACATATTCACTGCTAAAATAGTTTTAAAACTGTGAACCTAAATATTTATTTCCTCTTAATTGCCCACACAGCTAACAGTTACACGTTTTGTGTTACCTAATTCTCTTTGTTTCCAAACAGCTGTTCACCAAGTCTTAACTGTTTATTTTTTGTCTTTATTCTTCAATTGTTGAGCCAAATAATGTACAGATTTGTAAGATTTGCATTTACAGGATAATAATACAGGTTGGAAAGAGCCTCAGTGGGTCATCTAGTCCAACCTCCCACTCAAAGCAGGACTGGGCGCCGGGAGGGTGCCACTATGCCAGGCACTATGCTTGAGTTGCGTCATTCACCAAGTCACACCATATGATTCAACTCTTTGAGTTCACATCCAGGAAAACTGCATAGAAAAATTTCCAAAACAAGCATTCCTTCCAGAAAAGAATTTACTTTGTTTCACAGTATTTAGTGTATTTCCAAAACTGAATGTTTTTTGGGTTTGTGTTTTTTTTTTTTTTTTTTAAGTCCAGCACTGTCCACTGCAGAACTGATAGGGAATATTTGGATCAGAATAGCTATTGAAGTCAATTCCCTGTGCAAAAAAGTGCTCAGACCTACTTTTCCACTTTGATTGTAGGTGCAAAGTAAACTTTAAAATAGATCTCCATGACTGTTCAACAATACTTGGTTAAAAAAAAAAAATCACTTCTCTTACCCATGAACAATTAACATGCGTCTTGTATGAAAACTACATTTGCTTCTGCTTCTTGCTATACAGGTGCCAGGGCTGCAGGCTTGTACCCGAGGCTGGCTGAGGGTGACAAGGATAGCCTGGAGGATTCATTTTAAAAGCCTGGCTCTGCTGAGTATTTTGGCAGTGTTCTCTAAATGCTGATAAATAACTGAACATGTACTTGTCACATCGTACAGACTAGGGAGGGGGCATCTCCCTACTTTACTTAAATCCCTACTGGAATCACATCATTGATAGCAGTTGAGTAAAAAGCGGATGAGGTAGACATTTCAATATAGAGTACCTGTGCTCAAGAAAAACAGAACACGTTCTTCAACCTTAAAAGGACATTTTACATGATAATGTTTATAAAGCTGATTTTACAGAGCTTTCATACCCAATAGTTCTACCCAGAAGATGGAAGTAAGTTGAACACATACATTGATCAGAAGCAAGTACAGACACTGTACAGACATTGTAAGAAAAGCAGTGTAAACACTGCTCAAACAATGCACGAATATCTCCTAACATGGAAACATACAATATTGGTTCCCCCAAAAACTAATGATAAAAGAGTGCAAAGCACATATCCAGTTCTGACCCATAGGGAAGTCCCTCAAGGAGCTAATGAGCTATAAGCTCTCAAGAAAAAACTGCCTGTTTTGCCATTGCATAGATTGCATAGGAGATGGAGCAGAAACTTGAAGCAGAAGTACTAAGGAAGGGTAAGGAGAGTCCACATCAAGTGAAATAAGGCAGACCATGAATGCAAAGTCTGTGTGAAAGTATTTAGTGTAGTTTCATTCTCTTTGGGGCTGTCACTTCCTTGTTGCTTCAGGGAAACACTGTGGTAGGCACAGCTCACTGGAATAAGATCTTAAAGATACAGAGAGCTCTGTCTTCCTTTGCATTGCTCTCTATTGTTGTATCGTATATCATATGAATTCTTAATTAGATGCATCCTTGCAATGTTGGCAAGGTAGCTCGTCAAAGAAAATCCAAATAAAACCAGAAAATCATTCTTAATTGGGGATTTTTTTTCTGCCACTCTGGAGTTTGCCTTCTGTGCACTTACTGTGGGTTTAGCAAAGGACATAAATCAGGACTCCCTTTGAGTATCATTTTTCTCAGAACTATGTCATGTATTCTGTTCTGAGGTCAGGATATGGGAGCATAAATTAGCTGCATGCTTCTCCTTCGGGCACTTTGCAGAGGAGAAAAGTTTGGGATATGTGATTTTCATGTTTGCTACAGCCTCTGGAAAAAAACCTCCCATAATAATTCCAGAAATGATTACTGCATTCTTTCCCTTTTAAGACAAGAAGGATCAGTAGGACTAGATCTTTCTGCAGCTGAACATAGAGATAGTTTGCCACAATCGAGCAGAGAAATATATAAAAAGAAACATAAACATCCCACATAAATGAGTTTACAGATGTGCCACCATATACATCGCTTAATTGCACTGATGGAATTTTTCTTGCTTCTCTGTAAAGTATTGATTAGAGAACAAAAAGATTGCTTTAAATATCACATCCTCAGCAGGTGTAAACTGAGGTAATTCACTGAAATTAATATAATTATGTCATTTGTTCCAGCAGAAAGGTCTGTCTTGTATGCAGATCTGGTTTACTTCAGGATATATACTCTCAGTTTTGTAAATTTAACTAAAGGGCTTTGGATTAACATAATCTTTCATCCTAATTCTGAAAGCCCTTATAGAGAAATAAATCCTAATACTTAAAAAAAAGCTTTCCAGCATTAATGTTTAATAAGAGATTCTATACAAATGAGGTAGTGATTCAGGATATGTTCTCAGACTCGGGATAAATCTGTGGTTTTCTCCTTTCAAATTGTACAGTGGAACTCAGAAGTTTGTAGAAGTTGCAAACAAACCAGGGAAGAGTAAGATGAGAACAAACTGGAAAGTGCGGAAACTAATACAGTTCATAAATCGTGTCATGTCAGTATTTTCCAAATATTGCTCATATAATGGCAGTAAAAAGCAATAATTTAATTCAAAAGGTCAAGCAATTTACCTTGCATAACTGTGTCTTCCTTTCATAGTATGCAATCAAAGTTTTTGATCCTTGGTAATAGCTTTCGATTCCTTCCTTGATGGTTTCGGTGTTATCAGAGTGCTGACTGCTCTGATTTCTCATCAAAAGGCGACTGCTCATGGTTTCTGCAGAGCAGTCCAGGCAGAACACAAGTTTTGGTTCCCCAATCTAGAGACAAAGAAAAACAATAGGTATTCAAACCACTGGCTTGGTAAAACTGATTTTGCTTGGATAACGTAAAAAAAAAAAAAAACCTCCTCAAAGAGTCATCAAGGAATTTACTAGCAAATTACTTTCATATTTGTCTACACAGAAATTATGCTTATTAACAAACACCTCTTATTGTAGCAGCACTTAGAGATCCCAGTATTCAGGATCAAGGCTGTGCTTGATTAGGCTCTACACATACAGAGAAAAAGATATGATCTGAAAAACTCTGGCTACTTGGACTGGAGATCATCAGTTTGTTCATTATTTGCAATTGTTTGATAAAAGCTTGATGCAAACAGCACTGGAACCATGGAATGTTTGACATAGTTATTTCATTTTCATTCAGGGAGTGGTAAGCTATAGCTTACCACTATAGAAGGTAATAGAAGGAAATGTCCGAATTAAGGTGTGTTCACTTGAAACGGAAATGAGTAGCTCAAGACAGGCTCAGGGACACCATCAAATGCTTGTTATTGGACGTATTCACAGGAATACATCCTGTGAATTACTTTATGTCACACACTATTTTATGTCAATATTTGCAGTGTAACTCTGTCGTTACCACCCATGGCATACAGGAAGGATGTGATATATTTCTCTGCATTTTCAAATTAGTGAGTAATTTCCGAATTCTATGAGAAGCCCACCACTTAGTGCTTTTGACTAGTGCCAAACTAGTCGTAAGGGAGAGTCTGCCCTTTCCTATAAACAAAATAAATACGGATTTATTATTTTTATTCCCAGGCCTTGGCAAAGATTTTAAATAATTGTCTCTATCTACATTTGATAGTAGATTTTGTAGCAATATATGGGTGAAAAAGAACTGGCAAGAAAGAGCAAAATGTTCCTTATAATATTTTAGAAGAGACCCCAGAGTTCTAAACACAAATCCCCATCATTCTTTCCCTGAGATGCTGAAAAATATGTGTCATTTAGCATAAATCTTACAATATACTGTCATGCACCCTGCTTAAGCATAGCTCTCTCTGACACAGGGTTGTGTCTGAGCAACAACTGTTGGGCTGAGTCTAAAGGGATAAACTCAAGTAAAATACAGATGTTACAGGATCAGAGAAAAGTGACATGATAATTTTTCCATGCAGTTATGTATTAAATCCTTCAATGATGCTCTCGGGTTTTTTGGCATTCCTCCCCTTTCTAGCAGGGCTTTGCAGAACACCT